GAACATCTTGTTTTCTTCATAGGTTCTTGGCCCTTGAATTAAAATCCCCTTTTTGTTTCTATATTTTGGGAGAAAAATTTTCCTTCACAAATTCATTTATTCAAATTTTGTAAATTTAAACCCTTTTTATAAAATACATTCATCCCGGTTCTATCCACACAAAAAAAAAAAAACCCCAACGAAAAAGAAAACCGCTGTGAGGGGAATTAAAAAAAGGGCCCGGTTTTTTTTTTCAAAACAGACGGGACCTTTGCGACTTTTCATGCGAAAAATCGAATAAATAAACCCTATATTTTCGTTACCCCAATTGGAAAAAAACCCACGACCCGTTTGCTTTCTCAGAATTGTTTTTACTTATTTGGATTAGTCTGTTTTAAGTGAACCCCTTAGGGATAGCACTAAAAAAGTAAAAAATTTTTTATTTTTTTTCCCCAACGTTTAAAGTTTTGGGAAATTGGGCGGAGCGGGGTTTGCGCGTTTCCCCAAAGCAGGGGTTTTAAAAAATTTTTCTGCCCGGGGGTTTAACCTTTTGGCCCCGACACCGGCAGCCTCCCTCTTTTTCAGGGGGCTCTTTCCCAAAAAACCTGGGTCTGCCTTCCCCCCGGACCCCCGGTCTATTTAAAACGGGGATCCTTTGAAGCCCTTGAAAAAAAGGGGGGAACGGGGAAGATTTTTTGGTGAAAATTTCAAAACAGAGTCCACCCTTGGGGCGGGTTTTTAAACCGGGGGTTTGTTCTTTTGGTTTAAAGCAACCGTGAAAGGTGACCCACAAACCCGGGAAAAAGAATAAATTTACCAAAGTTTTTCAAAATGTTTGTTTATTTTTATTTTTTAAAAAGAAAAATTTGAACAAAGACAACCCCACAAAAAATCCAGAGGGGGAAAAAAGGTTTCCCAAAACCAAACCGGGGGGGAAAAGGAAAAAATAAAAACAAATGTAATGATAAAAACCCTTTAGCCCATTTAAAAACCCTTTGCTGCTGTCATTCTGCACATCTTGATGTTGCTGCTTTTTTAAAAAAATATTCCTTTACTGTAAAAATGTCCATAGTTGGCATAGGGGGTTATTTATTCTCCAGTTTTATATTTTTAAAAAAACTTTACGAATTTTATTTTTTATTTTTAACCCTTCCCCCTATTATTTTTATTCTTATACTTTTTTTCTAAGGTCCTCTTTTGTGTAAAGGGTAAAAGAGAATAAACAAAATCTAAACAATGTATCTAAAAAAATTAATCTGCAAATTCTCAAATACCCAAAACAAAAAAAAACAAAATTTAAAAGGCTTATTGTGCAAAACAAAAAAAAAAATTAAACTTTCAGATTTAAAATTTCCCCCACTCTGCAGTTTCCCTTGGGAATGTGCCCTTTAAAATTACACCCAAAAACCCATTTACACGTAACAGAAAAAAACCTTTTTAGATAAACCAAACATTCCCGCCCCAAAATCTGACTTTTAAAAAACCTTTAAAAACAACTGTAACAAGTATAAATTTCCTCTCTTTCAGGGAGAAACCCCAAAATGATGAGAATTTTTTCCCTTTCTTTTAAAACCCCCCCCCCCCAAAAGGGGTGCCCTGGTTTTCCCAATGAAAAATTGGCCCCCCCTTTAGTTGTTGTGGGGCCTTATAGTTTTTGAAAAATAGGGCCCACATTTCTTTCACCCAAACTTTTTTTTCTTGGGATTTTTAAATTTCACTGCCCTATGTATTTTTCCCTTTTTTTCGGGAAAAGATTTTAAACAGCTTCTTGGAACATCGGGAAACGAAAATTTCGCATCCGCCCCTCAAACAAAACCGAGTGTGCCTTTCTGGCATACCTGATCGGGATGTTTGTGGCATCAAAAATTTGGGTGGGGACTAAAATGATTTTTTCTGTGCCTTTTAAAATGCAGACGATTTTAGTGTAGAAAGGAAAACTCCCAAAATTTTTAAAGTTCTGTTCCATGCAAATCCTGAAATTTTTAAATTTTTGCGAAAGGTTAAAATGTTGGAGAGGGGATTGGGAGTTTTCTTCAAATTTGTCCACGGCCCACGGGAAATTTGTACATTACTTTGAGGGAAACTTTGTTCGTCCATTTACAAAATTGAGTAGGGGGCTTTTAGAGAGAGACAAATTTCTTTTTTCACCTGTTTTTTTTAAAAGAAAATTCGGGAAGAAAAATTTGCCTGGGAAATTAAAATCTAAAATTTGAAAAAACAAAATTTGAATCCCCGTTTTTAAATAAAGTAAAAAAACCCCACAGTACACATAAGTTGCTTCTGCAAAAACAACATTTATTTTTTTTTAAAAACGCATGCTTTTTTTTATTTAAAACAAGTAAAAATTTTCCTCTCATGAAAAGGGGAATACAGGGCTTTAAAAAAATTTTAAAAAAGAACCCTGTTAAAAATGTTTGCTCTTAATTGAAAAAAAATTGCCCAATTTTAAAAAAATTTGCCCAGGGGTTCAAAAAAAAAAAAAATTTTTTTAGGCATAAAAAACAAAAAAAAGGTTTTTGTTGTTTTTTTATAGACTAAAACCGGGAAAAATTTTGTTATTCACAACTGCTTTTTTTTAAACCCTTTGTGCAAAAAATTTAAGAAAGTTGACACCTTTTTTATAAAAGGAATTTTACAAAATGTGTCATTCAAAAATAAAATGTTTTGCACATATTCATTTTTTACTTTTTATATTTAAACAAAATAAAAAAACCTGAGTTTTTTTGTTTTCCGGGAAAAGCCTTCCCAAAATTGTCACCTTTTTTGAGCTTGGAAAAATTTTTTTTCATAAAGCAAACCCAAAAACTATTGGGGAATCCCAAAACGGGAAAATTTATTTTGTGATGAGACAATTTACCAAAAAATTATCCTTTAAAACCCCAAAAACGGGAAATAGTAGACATTTTAAAAAATCTTTCCCCGGGAGGTCCTGGGAAATTAAAAAATTTAACCCCAAACAGGAAAATTTAAAAATGCACCCAATGTTTTTGAGCCTGAGGCCTGCGCGAAAATCAAAATGTTTCAGAAAAACTAACCTTAATGGAATGCCCCAACCCAAAATTTGACCCCATTTCAAAACCTCAGGAAGTTTTGAAAAAGTTTGATGGTCAGCTTCCCCCAATGAAAAAACGTTTCGGGTGGCGGGGCAACTCCCTGCTGTGTTGCGGTAATCAAAATCGGGGAACTGGAGAAGCTCCTTCAGGGGCCTTCGAAGTTTTTTTTTTTTTTTGCTTAACAGTTTATGCGCTCATTCGATCGGGGGGTTGCGGGCTAAGGTTTTAACTACGGGGCGCCAGCTTTAAATTTGAGGGAACATTGGTGCTTGGACTATAGATTTTAGGGAACCCATTGGGGAGAGAAATGGCCGGGTTTTATCTTTTTTTGGCACCTGGTGACCCCTCAGGGACATCAAGGAGATAAAAGCAGAGTCTCCATTTCGCCCTGAATCAAAGTCATCCAAGGCCCTGAGAAAAAATTCTGTCTCCCCTGATTGACACAAAATGTAGAAACCCAAACCCTTGGGGCAGCTGCTAATGCGACCCTTACAGCACCTCCTAAAAAATGGGGGTGCTAGCTGCATTTGGGAAGTACCCAGAAAGTTTCAACCCCCAAAAAAAGCACCCTAGCAACACCCCTTTCCCAATTCTTCAATTTGAAAACGTGCCGTTAAAGGCCTTTGGGCCACCCACGGCCCATTGTTTTTCCCCCCCAATAAAATTCTGTTCCAGAAATGTGAGGAAACCTTCGGGAGCATCCTACCCCCTTTCCCCACTCTTCAAGTGCCCAAAAAAGGCAATCGATAAAATTTTTGAAAAGATCTCAAACTCTAAAACAAGGGGATCTTTAAATCCCTTGATAAGTTCAGCGAGACAGTGTCCCTACGTATGTTAACGTGCCCACTGGGGAAACCTTGGTAAAAATTTTCGATTTCGGGAAAAGAGTTCTGAAACAGGAAAGGGCTGCAAAACCAAGGCCCTTGGGGAAAGGAAAGATTAAGAAAGGTGGTCGGGTCAAAAACCCCCCCTGAGGATACCAAAATTTTACGGGCAAGGATTCACGGCGGGTTGAAGGGATGTGTCCCATTTGGCCCAAATTTCCCTCCCAAACTGTGGGTTCCACCCCTGTAAAAAATGGTTGGTTTTAAAGGGCGGTTTAAGGATCCACTGCCCAGGCTTTTCCCAAATGGAGATGAATCAGAAGGGGTAATATTATCTCCCAAAAGAGAAAATTTTAACGGGGGGAAGCTTCTTTTCCCTGCAAAGGGTTTACGGGCCCAAGTAAAACCCCCTGTGTCGTCCATGTTATTGTCTGTGGGAATCTCGATGTGAAAAACCCCATAGTCGTCATCTGGTTCGGGGAAAGTACTGCCTGACTTCAAAAGAATTTTTCAAAAAACATCTGAAACTGAATTTGAGCTCTGCGGGGTTTTGGGTTGGATGTCTTCTTCTTTTCTGAAACCCCCTTTTTAATTTTGGGGTTTTGCAGGATACAGTCGTAGTTTTCGAAACGTTTAGGTTTGTACAGTTGCTCAATAGTCCCTTGATATCTCCACTTCAATCTGTGACAAAATAGATTTAAAATTTGGAAACATGAGGCTTTTTGTTCTTGACCCCTTCCACTTCGGAAAAAAAATTATTTTCTCCCATGACCCCTTACTTTCCTCCACTGTTAGGTTTTTTTTAAAAGGCCCAAAATTTTGTTGGTTCTCCCCCTTTAAAATGGCCTTCACCTGTTGTCCTGTTTTGTTTTGAATCAAAATCCATCCTTTCCTAATTAAAAATCCCCCATCTCTCTTTTTTTTTCCCATTCTTTTTCCCCCCAATCCAAGTTGAATTTTTTTAAAGGGCTTCCACCTGGTGCTGTAAGTCTTCGGGGAAAGGTCGATTCAGTATATGGTCTTTTTCTTAAATTTATGGTTGGGGGGCTGGGATCGCCTAAAAAAGGGCCCCCACAGAAAAATTCGGCCCCCTGATTTGGGAAATTTTACTCTGCCAAGTCACCATCACTAATTAGTGGTATAAACAGATGGATCAATCTGTGAGAAAAAAAAAGAACATGGAAAAAAATTTACTTTGAATATTAAACTAAAAAAAAATCATACCCTTCGATGCTACTTCAACTTTTTGGGGTTTTTCAGAAACGGGCTGCCCCGGACAAAACAACCAGCCCTTTTGGGTAGGCTATGGGCCTACCCCCTCCAAATTCAGGAAAAAAAATTGGGACGTTGTGAAAATGCGAAAAAAAAACCAAAATTTTAATTTTCTGCAAAATTTAAGGTCAATCTTTAGCTGCAAAAATTTTGGGAAACGGGAAATGTTGAAAAATGCCCAAATTTTTGCCCCAATTTAAATTGGAAAATTATTTTAAAATTGTGAATTTGTTTCCAAAGCAACGCCGGTTTTCAAAAAAAAATTGGGATGGGGGAAAATCAAATGCTAAAAAAAGTTGTGTAATGAAAAAGAAAAAAAATTAAGGGGAATTTTTCCCAATTTAATTAGGGTTGGGGTAAAGTCACATCGTTATCATTTTTTTCCTATTTTCTCTTTGTTCTATCAGTGCAGGGCCGTTTTCAGACAGTTGGGCCCCCTATAATACAACCCCAAAGATGCATGTCCCCCTCCCCCCAGCTAGGGCTAGGCGGAGGGAGCCAATGATTGGTTTTGTTGAGCTCGTGTTCCGAAAAACGGCGCGCCGGGATACAAACAGAGAAAAAATTTTGGCCCAAGGGGATAAGACGTGTGATTTTTCCCCTAAAACTTTTTTGGGGATTCCAAAAATATACTCTTTTAAAACCCAAATAATGTTTTGGGAAGGAAAACCGTTTTATTTGGGCTGGGTCTAGAAAAACCTTTCCCCGGGACTTTTCCTCTTGCCAAAACCCCTGGACGAGAATTTCTGTCACAGGAGGGTTGCCGGGGGTGGGCCCGTGTGATTCCCTTCCCAATGGTGTTTTGGGGTTGCCAAAAAGGTTCAGCAAAATACCCCCCTTCACTTTAAAATTTAATGTTTGACCCCGGCCTGTGGAGATTCAAAAAAAAAAAAAAAAAAAAAAATTTTTTACCCTTTAAAAAAGATTTCCCCTTTTAAATCTCAAAATTTGGGTTTAAAAATCCATCTGCTGTTTTTTTAAAAAACCCCCCCCAATTCCCCCCCTAAAGTTTTTTAAAAATTTTTTAAAACCCCCTGAAACCCCCCCCAACCCACCCCCCCCCCCCACCCCCCACATAATATTTCCCCCCTTTTTTCCCCCCTTTTTTAATCAAGTTTTTTAAACCCCCCCCAATTTAAGTCCCCCCTCCGGGCCCCAACTCCAAAAAAACCCCTCCCCCATGGAAAAAGCCCCTCCCCCCGGCCCCCCGCCGCAGGGGCCCCCCGGAAATAGCCCCCCCCAAATCCCCGGGGACCCCAAAACCACTTTTTTTCCCCCCATCCCCCCCCCCTTTTTAAATAAAAAAAACAAATTTAATTTTATTAAACCCCCTTTTATAATTGAAATTTCTTTTCCCAAAAACCCCAATAAAAAACCCCCCCCCCCCCCCCCTTTTATTTCTTAAAATGAGGCCCCAAATAACCCCCATTCCCCCCCCTTTAAAAAAGGAATTTTTAACTTTATTTATTAAATCATTTAGCCCCCTTTTTAATTTGTTTTAAAAAAAACATTTAGCAGTGAAAAATGGGATCCTATCTAATTTCGACTAAAGCTTAAACCTTTTCCCTGTTTTTTAAAAAAATTTTTGTAAAGGAAAAAAAAAAAAATAGTTCCAAAGGGCCCTTTGGGTTCCAAGTCTTTTCCCAGGGGCATATATCATTATAATTTTTATAAGCTTTATTTTTTTCGAAAGGGGCCAGGCCCATGTTTTAAAAGGGGGACGGGCTCCCCTTTGGCCCCCTGTCTGGGAACCGCCCATGATGAAAAAACCAAATAAAAGCCTCCCCAAACCCCGCATCTCCCGGCAGGGGCACCACCGTTGGGGGCATATTGGCAGCAAACCCCCCTTTAATGACAGCCCCGGCTGTCTCCCATAGGCTTCCCGAGCGATCCCAGGTTTACTGACCCCTTTTTGGTGGCTCCCAGCCGGGGCCGGTTTTTTTTAAAATTAAACTTAAAAATACCTTTTTAAAATTTAAAATGAATTTATTTTATTTATTATTTTTTGTTCTTTTTTTTTTTTTGGGGAAAATAACTTATTTTTTAAATTTAAAGGGGGTAAAAGGTTTTTTTTTTTTTTTTAAAATAAGTGATGTTATTGAAATGTATCCTGCATTAAGTTTCCCAGTGGTGTTTATTTTTATATTTTATATATATATATTTATTTATATATATATATCAAAATTTTTATTTCAGCACTTGAATTTCTAAAGTACTTGATAGTTTTAAAAAACAAAAACAAAAAAAGGATATGGCATTTGACATTTTAAAGTTTTAAGCCCCTTTTGGGTGCGAAACGTGTTTTTCTCTGGATTAAAGGAAAGTACCCCCCAAAAAATTTTTAGCCTTCATTTTTATCACCCCCATGCTGAACAACACTCTGGAGTACTTTTTTGATATTCAAATGCATCTGGAGATCTGGGGGGCTTCTTGCTGTCTGCTGACATTCAAAAAATGGGGTCCCTGGGCCCCCGAGGTGAAAAGGTCCATAAAAGTCCCACAAAAAACGTTTCAATATTCCTCCATACTGCTCGTCCAATGTATTCCAAGTTTTCCCGAGTGGGTAGCATCCCGAATTTTCTCGGAAAAAAAGTCATTTATTGGGTTTTTGAGCTTAAAAAAGTATGTGTATAGGATTTCCCCGAAAAAACCCCGGAAAATGGCGCTCACGCGCTTTCGGACCGGGAGGGGACCCAAAACCCGCGCATTCGCTCGGCAAAGAACTATGCTCTTTTTCAACCCCTGAAGTCCCTTTAGACATTTTTCCCTTTTGTTTGTTTCTTTCTTTGCCCCGGGGAAAAAGGCCAAAAAATTTCTTCTTTTTACGCTTGCATTATTGGGAAAAAAGAAGACGCCCGAAAAGCGGACTTTCATCTGGTTTGGTTGCCCGGTTTTCCCTAGGTCCGGGAATCGGGGCTTTTTGGGGCGCTTTCAGGAAATCCTTACACTTCTGTTTTTTTGCTCTTAAAAAAATTCTAAAAGACTTTTTTTTCGAGTAAAATTTTGGATGCTACCACTCAGGACACTTGGAATTTCATTTGGGGAACAAAACCAGTATGGAGGGGTTTTTTGCAAAGTTTTTTGGGGGACTTTTATGGACCTTTCGCCCTTTTGGGCGCCCTGGCCCCCATTATTTGAAAGCAGCAAGGGCAGCAAGAAACCTCCCAGATTTTTCCAGATGCAATTTTGGGATATCAAAAAAAAATCTCCCGAGTGTTGGGTTCCCGCATGGGGGGTTTAGTAGGGAAAAAAGAAAGGGTTTTAATTTATGTTTTTGGGTTTTTTTTTCTATTTTTTTTTAAAAGGGCCCTGGGCCTGAAAATACAAAACCCGTTGCATTATAATATAAAGGGCCTTTTAAATTAAAAAATTCGAAAGCTTAACGTTTGTCACATAAAAGGCAGTTACGGGGATAGACATGTTTCTATTTCTCGGTCTGATGAATTTGTGTGCCCTGGGCATTGGGGGACCTTTCACTAAATAAAATATGATTTATGGAGGGTTTTCAAATAAAAAAAATTTTGATTTAATTTTGCAAAGATCCTGTGCCCCTGCATTGTGTTTTTTTTTTGGGTAAAAAACTGGCTTTTTTAATTTTTTTATAGCACGAGTTTCCCAGGTTTTTTATGTTTTTTTTGCAGTTTTTTAATCGGTTTTTTAACCCGTTTTAAAAATTGATTTTAAGGCAACCAAGTTGTACTTTAAAGGTTATTTCTGCCCAAAAAAGAACCCCTTTTTTCAATTTAGAAACCCCCAAAAATTTAAAGATCTGAGCTCACAAAACAGCCTTTGGTTAAATCTTTTTTTCGGACCAAATTTTCCAAAACAAAATAAACCTTTTGACTTTGCAAAAAAAAGTAAATTAAAGCCCAAATAATGTATTCAATGGGGAAAATTTTGCCCAAATAAATTGATTTTTTCAGAAGCATTTATTTTAAATAGAACAAGTCCTTTTTAGGCCAAAAAAAACACTTTTTTTCAAAAAAACCCTTTTTGGGCCCTTTTAAACAATTTTTTTAGCAGGGGGGGTTTTTTTTCCAGCCGGGCCCTTTCTAGAAAATTTATTTTAAAAACCCAAAAACTTCATTTAAAAAGGCCCGCCAGTAGATGTGTTGCTATTGTCCCCCTGATATGTAAATAGTTTAAACTTTGTTTTTCAAATTTTCATATTTCATGTTCATTCATTTGTCTATTTAAATCTCTTTGATTAAAAAAAATTTCAATTTTTTTGCACCAACACTTATGAATTGGGCTTTTTTTTCTTGGCCCTTTTCATTTTTGGCTTAAATAAAGTTTGTATTTTTAAGAGATTGAAAAACTTCCCTTTATTTCATGCCCTTTTCCCCCGCATTTCTTGAAATGAAAAACCTATAAGAAAAAACCATTTTGCAAGTCAAAATGGCTTTTTAGTGTGGTATGGTAAAGAGTTCCAAGCTATTTTGTGAGCTCAGATCTCTAAATTATGGAGGTTCTGAATGAAATCAAGTCATATTTGGGCAGATATCCCCTTTAAATGAAAGTATTTGGGCTTTAATCAGTTTCTAGCAAGTCGGCTGAGGTCAAAACACCCTGCTAGAAATTGATTAAAGGCCAAATGTGGTTGAAGAAAGGTGATTTTTGCCTAAAAAGGACTTGTTCTATTTAAAATAAGATGCTTCTGAATGAAATCAAGTCATATTTGGGCAGATATCCCCTTTGAGTGACAGTATTTGGGCTTTAATACATTTTTTGCAAGTCAAAATGGCTATTTTGTGTTGTAATGGTCCTTTAAAAGAGTTCCAAGCTGTTTTGTGAGCTCAGATCTTTAAATCATGCATCTCCTGAAGGAAATCTAGTCATATTTAGGTAGAAATAACCTTTGAGTGACTATACTGTGCCTTCAATCAATTTTTGACAGGTGAAAACCGATTGAAAACTGCAAAAACACATAGAAACATGGGAAACTCGTGCTATATACGGCCAGATCAGATAAAAAACACAATGCAGAGTCACGAGGATCGTTGCAAAAGTTGTCATATCTTTATTGAAAACCCTCCAGTAAATCATATTTATTGTAGTGTAGTCTCCAATGTCAGGGCTACACAAAGTCATCAGACCGAGTATAGAAACATGTCTATCACGTAACTGCCGCTATGTGACAAACGTTAAGCTTTCGAATCTTTAATTAGGCCTATATTATAATTTAATTAGGCCTATATTATAAAGCAACTGTGTGTATCTGCATGTCAGGACCGTTTAATCCAGAGAAAAGCAGGTTTACGCTATCGCTCAGCAGGCTGCGGTGCGCGCTCCCGCGAGCGTAATCAGATTCTCGCAGACATTCACTTTTTCGCACAACACCCCCCCTGAACACGAGAAAATCCTCGTTATTCGATGCTGTAGCGCACATATTCCCTAGTTACTGGGGGGAAATATGGAGTACCAATAGGGCAGCTGGTGGCTTCAAAGCAACTCGTTCTAACAGCTGGCGATTAGCACTCCAATGTATAATATAGCTCATTGCATCCCCTCTCTGCATGGCTTTGGATGAGGTTCATGCACTAAAATAGGCTATCATAGGCTACTGTAATGGCATAAACATGTTGCATTGATCTACGTTAACACTGCAAACGACATGACATCAACGAAACACATTAGCAGGGTTAGCCTATTTCTAACCCAGTCAGTCAGACCACCTGTTACTCGAATACAAATAACATTAATGAAGTTAAACATATTCTTGCAGCCCACATCACATAGCCTACCTTTTCGTTTTCGAGTTTCTGAATAAACTCTTCGCTGACACCTCTATCTTTCAAGAAGTCCCTCAGGCTATCAGCAGTCGGCTCCATAGCTGGCGGGACACCACAGGTGACCCTGCTACAAAGAGTAAAAGTTCGCTATCGTCATCACCTACCGATGAAAACTAAAAAGGCTTTAATTAACCACGGTATCACTTACCAATGTTGAACTGTAATGTTGCAGACAATAGCCGAATCTCAACAGCTTGAGTAACAGAAGTTACGACAGGCAGCAGCGGTGAGAGCATGTCGGAAATGACTAAATGTGAGCGAGATTTAGGACTCAATTAAAAGAAAATGTGCTCACGTTTTATTAATTCGAGTGCTCAATTAAATGAAAACGTGTTCACGTTTTATCAATTCGAGTGCTCAATTAAATGAAAACGTGGTCACGTTTTATCAATTCGAGGGCTCAATTAAAATAAAACGTGCTCACGTTTTATTAATTCGAGGACTCAATTAAAATAAAACGTGCTCACGTTTTATTAATTCGAGAGCTCAATTAAATGAAAACGTGGTCACGTTTTATTAATTCGAGGGCTCAATTAAAGGAAACGTGCTCACAAATTATCACGACCTGAAAATAAATATAACTTAAAGTGAGCTCTCCCGGGCTCCGTAGAATACAAACTACAAATCAGATTTATTTTGCATGTTAATATCAAACAGTTCACCTCTTCCTCAAACATCTTCTGAACTATTTCTAATATGAAAAGTTAATGAACAACATACTTTTGATACTTTTTGTTTGTTTCTTCATTCATATGATGATCGGTTTTACATTAAATCTCCCATATATTTGACCTAATTTTTTCATAGATGTAAAATACAAAAAGACAGTCAGATGACCTCTGCACTAGTGCACTTGTGTTAGGATATATTATGTGGAAAAAATCTTTTTTCCTAAATACTGAGAAATCTTTTTTCTGCACTTGTAAATTAAAGATTTTATGTGCTGTTTAGAAAAGTATTTAATTACTTAAAAACACAAATGGATAAAACTGATACTTAATGGTAATATGGTTCTTGTATTCTTGTGCTTTACAGTAGAACAATAATATAGATATTTAAGAACTGCATATGGTGCAAACGGTGCATTCACTTTAACATCATATGTCCAGGTACGGAGTGAAACCTCTAACAGTAACATAAACATTGATGCATAAGAAGCTTTAGATTTTCACCTGTTCTGTTTGTGTCTCTGTACATCCTCTTAAGCAGAGTTCAGAGGATACAGAGAGTATGTGTGTTTAATAAATAAATTATTCACTGAAGCTTAGGCCATTCAGAGTGCACGCATTATTTACTTTTTCTTTCCCGCATATGTGACTGCATCAAGGACATCAAGTCTCTGAGCTATGTCTATGTTCTCTAAAGCCATTATTTATCTTCCCTTTATCTAAGTGTCGTGTTCTGTCTTCCAAGAAGCACTAATGTTTTCATTTATTCACCAGATTAAATGAGTTACATTTCCTCATCGGACACTGTAATTCAGCCAAGAATGCTTTAATATAATTAGCCACATCTGTGCTGCCATAGAAATGCTTCCAGTTCCACAGCAGTGTAATCACACTGCAGAGGGAGAAACACCTGTGCACCAGCGTAGCATAGATTCATTTAAATCTTTTAACTTTAAAGTTTGCAAGATAATATAAACAGTTTAAATCTATTCCCTGTATTACCATAAAGATAAGGGGGAAATAACTTCTGCTTCCTGCAAATTAAATAGGGAATTATCTTGCAATACAAACATTCCACCACAAGAGGGCAACATTTGACAAAAGGTGAAGTTAGAAAAAAGACGGTCTAATTAGTTTTACTGCTCAAAAAGGAAAAACAACCATCAGAAGATGTTAACAAGGGACTTCATAGATAAATTCAGTATCAATAATCATTCTAGATGACTTCTAGGACTAATTTAACGAGCTTTACTTTAGCTTCAGTATTTATAATAGCAGAGATAGTTGTCACATTTTCCTTTTCTTGTTCCCACCTCCTCACAAACCCCAGGTAAAGAGTGAGCATATTAGATGTTGCATTCAATTTCACAATGTTCCCCAGTCTTTATAAAATATTCTCCCGCCAGCTGAAGATTTCACTGAAATCGCAAACAAACCTTGTTAAAGTCAAAAAGTTTTCTCCTTATGTAGTTTGAAAGAATTCTCAGACCTTCCCTTAAGGCAGAAAGTTCAGGAAAATGTGTTTAATCTTATGGGCAGTCGAAGCAGCTGTTGGCTGTCTAGACATAATTTAATTCACAAAATAAATCTGGGCTGAAACATATGGCAGAATAGACGTCTATGGTTGGTCAAACTCTGGACTTACTACCGAAAGAAATTCATTTTTTGTATATACTGCAAAGCCAGGAGAGCAAAGTTAGGTTTTTTATTTTATTTTTTACACATCCTCTATATTAACATTTTGTTTATTGTTTATTGGATAGTTAGAAACTGAAATAATGTAGAGCACTTTTTATACCATATTGCTGGTATACAGTAAGGGTTTAATTACGGAAAGCAAGTCTAACTATTTATTTTCTGTCCAATAACTGACAAATCCTTCATCTGAAGTTTTTTTTATCTCCATAACTCAATGTATAAAAGCCTCAAACCAATTAAATAAAGCAACTATTTATGATATAACCAGTAACCTGTATCACCTGTATCAAGGTTTTTATCGTATTTCATCAGCTAAACGTTTTTAAAAACTCCCAGTTTACCATGTAAATTATTCCTCATTTCACAAATAAAGATCCTCAAAAAGTGTTAAGCTAAAACAAACTGTTCCTCTGTTTATTCCTTAACTTTTTTTGGTGTTCTTGACAGCCATTAACTCCTGGAAGCGTTTTTTTGTAACACATGCCTTTAGCAGACTTCCCCAAATGTTTGCATTTGCATTTCATGTGGGATATGTGGCTGATTGATTAAGGTGGGGGAACAGGGGGAAAAAAACGGCAGAAGCAAACAAGGTAAAAAGGAACGCATTACTTTCATGTGTTTAAATTAATCACAGAGGTAATTCAATCCCAATAAGTTTATACAGAGTCAATTCACAATACGTATAATCTCAAGGCACTTTAGAAAAATAACTCAAAACCGTTAATGCAGTCCATTAAAAGTCTTCTATCTAAGGATTTCCAGCTAATTGCATCGGCTCTGACTTTGCAGGATACGCTCCTCCTGGATCAGCATGTGGCCACAGCAGCATTTTTGTTGTTGACTACAGCAATCCCTCACAATGAGCATCCATGCAGCAACAGTGGACAGAAAAAACTCCCTTTTAACAAGAAGAAACCTTTAACAGAACCAGGTTCAGTGTGGGCGGCCTTTCTGCTGAGGCTGACTGGGGTTCAAGGAGACAGAAGCAGAAACACAAAAGGAACATGGAAGCACTGCTCAATAAATATGTCCACGGGTGGCTCTTAGTTTAAGTTTAAAAAGAACTGCTCTCTGCTTTTCAGTATTAGGCCTATTTTACGAAGCGAAATCTGAAACAAAAATATTGGGGTATTTTCATTGTTGGTTTTAAATTGAAAACAAATGAATGAATAATTAATTAATTATTTTGCTATCTTATTTGTAATTTAATATTCTACAGTTAAAGAGTGAAATAATTTATACTGTATTATAAGCTGTAGCACACATTCCATTGAGCAAAATGTGAATGTTCTTCATATGAATGTTATCTTTGAAAGGTGTAATGTCTCATTTCTCACAGTGCTGGACTCTCACCCTGGCCACTAAACGACTAATAATAAATAAATAAACAAAAATCTTGAAAAACAAGATTTTTGTTTATTTATTCAATTAATCTATTTACTCCTACTTTTTTTTAAGTGGGTCAAATCACCTATATTAATATTAAAGTATTAGAAATTGTACATCAGATAATGCTCACTGTGGTCCTGAAGAATTAAAACAACAAATACAAGCCAATTATTTGTTGCATTATTACATTTGCTGGAAGTTATATAATACTTAATATATCTAATAAATCTATGCAATGATTATCACATTAAATGCAACATATTTTTATTATATTTGTGGTTTATTATGTTTGCTGGTGTTAGACGAAGTCTGAGCCAGTTCTAATTTCAAAGGGAAGGAAGACAGCTAAATCAGTTAATCACAGTAAAAGCTAAGCGTATAGCGATGTCCCGGAGAGAAACAGGACTAAGTTTTGAAAAACAGAAACCAACTCTTTCATTTTTGTTCAAATTAAAACTTCTGCGGTATTGCTCAGTGGTACAGTTTCAGTACAGATAAAAAATGGAACAGATTCTTTAAAAGGTATCACTACATTTTTAAATAATCTGCATATGTAAAACGCTCTTTTATGGAAGAGAACTTTGTTAAAGGTTGCAAAAAAGTGCTTACATAGGAAAGGGTTGTGATAAAATACACCTACATTTTTACAGTTAGAGGCACACTATGCAACATTTTTCAGTTAATTAATGTGTTCCATAACGTTTTGGATGATTAAATGAGTCATTTCAGGTTGAACAAAGGTTTTCTCGGCCGCCCTGGTGGTCTGTGGGGGAAATACCGCACTTGCAATTGCAGGAGCCCTCGGCCCGCACCCACAGGCTCAGAAGTCTCGCGAGAGTCGGTCTTGCTTTACGACGAGAACTGCTACACGCCCCCAGTTAAAAGCATGCTCGTTGCTAGCACAGTGGCGATCTTTGTGCAGTTATCATGGCGGAACCAGCGTGAAAACAGCGAAAGCCCATGTCGGAGCAGGCAAGAAAGAGGAAAAGGGCTCCGGACAGAGAGAGGAGTCGTACACGGGTGAACATCGGGCAAGCTTTTTCCGAATGGCGAGAGCTAAAAGAAAAAGAAGGCTGCAAGGCTGACGCGGACCTCGCGTTTCTGCTGATGCGATTGTATGTAACATTGGAATGGTTTCTCTCTCTCTGTGTGCATGTTCATACTTTCACTGTGTTAGTCATTCGTTGCGTTCGCCTGTCTGCTAAGCTCAAAACAACTGCGCCTGGCTTGACGGAGAAACCAGGAGAACAGCTGCGCATATTTACGACAGTGCACTTTTACTTTCGCCCTCTGGGGGGAGCCTCGCTGGAAAATCAACACCGGTTGCATAGTATACCTTTAATGCCACATGTCAGACTCAGCACAAGGTCCAAAGTATGAAATGAGAATGCATGGGACTAGATGCATTTTGGACACAGTCAATCAATTCTAAGATGCAATTAAATGTCAGCATGAATGTTAAAATCCCCCACTATAATGAGCTTGTAGGTATTTCATACTAAAACTGACTGATCTAAAAATAGTAAGGACTTGGTGGACGATATAAAGTG